TCGATCGTACAGTAATTTAACGATGGTTATCTGTCGTTTTCGGTGAATTTAGGTGTGTGTACTACGAACCCTTGTGCAAACTTAGGTACCTGTATGGTCACGCCAGCCGGCAGTTCTCCGTATTACAGTTGCACTTGCCAAAATGGGTACTCTGGACCAACGTGCGGCACGAGTGAGTTATGAATTTCGTGGGTTTAACAATATTCTTTTCTGCCGTCTTTCACTGATCTCAAAATTCTTTTCTCTAACTAAAAATGTTCAACAGACGTCTGTTACAGCACGGTCTATGGGGTGAGTGCGGTCAGGCTTGAGTTAGTTCAATTCTGACATTTCAGTATCAACTATTTCCTTTGTATAAAAATGTTAAATAGAGGCCTCTGATCGAAAGTTGTATGCGTGAAGTTTAGCCCCGCCAGTGGTTACTACCTATGCGCATGACCAGACACACCTTCGAGTAGACATTACATTACGAATCAGTGTTTACTTTTCCGCGGTTTTTTCAACCTAATGGTTGTGCTTTTAAGTTTCCAAAAGCCTAATAGTTGCGCTTCTGAGTTTGCTGAATTTCCATGTTTGGGTCGCAAAATAATTTTGTCTATAGTTATGTGTTGTGTTCGATGAATTTAGGTGTGTGTACTGTGAATCCTTGTACAAACTCAGGTACCTGTACAGTCACGCCAGCCAGCAGTTCTCCATACTACAATTGCACCTGTCAAAACGGGTACTCTGGAACAATTTGCAGCACAAGTGAGTTATCAATTTCGTCGTTTTTCCAATCCTCTATTCTTGTCTTTCAACTTGATCTCGAAACTCTTCTAAAAATGTCAAACACACGTCTGACACTACGCACTGTCGGTAGAGTATCGCCACGCCAGTCTTAACGATCCAAGCCCATGTCAAAAGGCAGATTAGGTTAGTTATTCTATAGCAATGTAGTATTTTCTTTTCCGCCGCTTTTTTCAGCCTATCTGTTGTCCTTGTGAGTTTTTTCAATTCCAATGTCTAGGTAGTAAAGTACTTTTACGATCGTTATGTGTTGTTTTCGACGAATTTAGGTGTGTGTACTGCGAATCCTTGTGCGAACTCAGGTACCTGTACAGTCACGCCAGCTGGCACTTCCCCATATTACACTTGCAGCTGCCAAAATGGGTACTCTGGAACAATTTGCAGCACAAGTGAGTTATCAATTTCGTCGTTTTTCCAATCCTCTGTTCTTGTCTTTCAACTTGATCTCGAAACTCTTAAAAGTGTTAAACAGACGTCTTTCACACCACCGTCTGTGCGTACAGTATGATCGGGTCGGTCCTAACTATCCAACGTGCTTGTCATTTGGTGGAATTCTGATATTTAAGTATTAGGGCATGTTACTATAGTTATCTGTCGCTGACTATAAATTTAGGTGTGTGTACATCGAATCCTTGTGCGAACTCAGGTACCTGTACAGTCACGCCAGCCGGCAGTTCTCCGTATTACAATTGCACCTGCCAAAATGGGTACTCGGGAACCACCTGCGGCACGAGTGAGTTATCTGTGACACTACGCTCTGTGCGGAGAGTATCGTCAGGCCCGTCCTAACTATCCATGCTCAGATCAAAACGCATATTGGGTTAGTTATTGTAGTACGATGTAGTGTTTACGGTCCGCCGCTTTTTTCATCCTAACAGTTGTGCTTGTGAGTTCGTTGAACTTTTGAAATTTAGATAGTAAAGTATTTTACGATCGTTGTCTGTTATTTTTGGTAAATTTAGGTGTGTGTACTACGAACCCTTGTGCGAACTCAGGTACCTGCACAGTCACACCAGCCGGCAGTTCTCCATACTACAATTGCGCCTGCCAAAATGGGTACTCTGGAACAACTTGCGGCATTAGTGAGTTATCAGTTTTGTTATCTTTTAACCCTCCTCTCTGGTCAGTTTCCCCGATCTCGGAACTCTTTTCTCTATCTAAAAATGTCAAACTGACGTGTCTGACAGTACGTTCTGTGCGTACCGTTTGATCACGCCACTGGTTGTGAACTATGCGCATGTCGAAACGCATATTGGGGTAGTTATTCCGTTACGAATTAGTGGTGACTTTTTCCGGTTCTTAATGGTCTCGCCGACTGCTGTGCTTGTGAGTTCGTTGAACTTTTGAAATTTAGATGGTAAAGTATTTTACGATCGTTGTCTGTTATTTTTGGTAAATTTAGGTGTGTGTACTTCGAATCCTTGTGCGAACTCAGGTGTCTGTACAGTAACGCCAGCCGGCGGTTCTCCATATTTCAGTTGCGCCTGCCAGCATGGGTACTCTGGAGCAACGTGCGGCACGAGTGAGTTATCAATTTCATCGGTTTTCCTATTCCCTTTTTTGGTGTATTTCCTTGATCTCAAAACTCTTTTCGCTATGTAAAAATGTCAAACTGACGTCTGTGACACTACGCTGGATGCGTATAGTTTGGTCACGCGAGTCCTCGTTTTCGATGCGCATGTCAGAAGGCGTAATCGGGTAGTTATTGCATTAGGAATTAGTGTTGTCTTTCTCGTGTTTTCTTTTTCTAGTAGTTTTGTTGAATTCCGATATTACAGTACTAGAGTAGGTTACTATCGGTATCTATCGTTTTCTGTAAATTTAGGCGTGTGTACTGCGAATCCTTGTGCAAACTCAGGTACCTGTACAATCATGCCAGCCGGCAGTTCTCCGTATTACAGTTGCGCCTGCCAGCAGGGGTACTCTGGAACCACTTGCACCACGAGTGAGTTGTGGATTTCTTGCGTTTGGCTAGATCTCGAAACGCTTTGCTCTATCTAAAAATATAAAACAGACGTCTCTGATGATACTTTCTGTGCGTACAGTTTGGACACGCCAGTCTTCATTATTTATGCTCAAGTCGAAACGCATATTCGGACAGTTATTGCATTACGAATTAGTGTTTGCTTTCTCGTGTTTTTTTTCGCTTACAGTTCTGCTTGTGAGATTGTTGAAGGCCGATATTTAATCACTAAAGTAGGTTACTACGGTTTCGGTTTGTTTTTGTTACGGTTGTAATTTTGGTTGTAGATTTTTTGAATTTAAGTTTTCCGGCTTATCTCGTTTAGTATCATGTCAGTTGTCAAATCCGTGCGATAAAAACGCGCAATGTAATTTAACATCGAATGGAACTCAGTTTTGTACATGTAATAATGGTTATGTTGATCAAGGTAGTGGTTTGAAGGGAGATTGTCTGAGTGTGTGTTATGTTAATGACCCATGCTCGTTTTTGGCAAACTGTGCGTTAATGCCGAATGGTACTGTTAATTGCACCTGTAGAAATGGTTTCTACGGAGATGGTTATGACTGTGAAGATAGATGTAATAATGCAACAACATGTGATGCAAATGCAGTATGTAGTCATACACAATCGACTGGTAATATTAACTGTACATGCAAGCCAGGGTTCACAAACGCTGGAACGGGTCTACCCGGTAAGTAAGTCAAAGCTTAAGCAGGAGACCATATTAGGCAATTTCCGGTCTTCTATTGCGTCCTGGAGCAGGAAACGTTCCAGGACGCTTTGTCTTACGCCACTGCAGTTTTGAACTTCAGCGTTTCCTGCACTGCGAAACCAAAAAAGGAAGAAAATCTTGGTTGTCTAGTAGTGGGGTCTTTACGGCGAATTCTTTAAATTTCTTACTTGCACTGAGGACTAAGGGTCTCTCAAACTAATTTATATTTGAAGTATGTGAGAGATTTTGATGCAATCTATTGATATTTTAATACGAATTTTGCATCGTTAAGTCAAGATGGGTCTTCTGATATGAGGGGATCTTCTAATGTATCCCAACCTTAGAAAACTTTTATGTTGTCGTACCGATGTTATTGACAGAAGCCTGCCATTTAATTTTCTAACTTTTACGACGTAATTGCTACGAGTTGGTAGCAAGATTGTGATTGAATTTGCTTGTTTCGCCGCACAATCGCTATTGAAATCGACTGCTTCGCGACAGAATCGTGTTCAAATTGCTTATATCGCGGCAAGATCTAATCGCAAAAAAGTAGCTGGCATTTCTTTCGATTTTGAAAGCATTCGACCATGTATCGCACGAAATTCCACTGAGAAAACTATCTTTGGCCGGTAATTCTGATCCTCTGCTTTACTGGTTCATGTCATATCTGTCTGAGCGTACCCCGATAGTAACAGTGGGATCTGCTCATTCTACTTCAGTCCCGGTTGTTTCTGAAGTGCCTCAAGGGAATATTCTTGGCCCCATCTTATGTTTAATCTTTATCAATGACTTACCTCAAAGTCTAGTTTTCTGTTCTCTATTCTCGCTCTTTGCAGATGATCTTCTTTGTCTGGCCGATCCAGACAAGGCACAATCGTGCATAGATGAGATTCTGGCTTGGTGTGAAACGAATTTTGTCACTTTAAACGTTTCAAAATGTGAATGGATGTTGTTTTCTACTGTATCTAACCTATGCCCAACAATGTCTTTAAAGATGAATGATCATATAATTCAGCGTGCCTCTTTCTTAAACTTCTTGGCGTTAGATTGGCGCATGATCTATCGTGGAAATGTCATATCGATAATTTAGCCTCACCCTCATCCCTCACCCTCACAATTTAGCCTCAAAGTGTCGAAAAATGCTTGGTTCTATTTCCCGTGTGTTTCGCGATTCTCCTCATTCTCTTCGTCTTCATCTGTATAAAACCTGCATACATGCAACTTTGGAGTACTGCTGCATTCTATATGATACGTCTTACATTTCTCTTCTTTCTGTGTTAGATAACGTACAAAAGTTGGCCTGTAGAATAATCCTTAGAGATTATGACAGTCGTTCCTCGCAACTTCTCACTCGGCTAAATTTAGCACCGCTCTCCGCACGAAGAAAATGTTTTCGTCTTGCTTATTTTCATAAACTATACAATACGAGAAGTGCTTTGTCTACTAGAAACCTAATTACTCCGCCAACAAATCGACGGTCGTCTACAATAACGCATGATAAACAAATTCAACAACCTTACTATTCCTTAAAGTCTGCTTCAGGGTCATTTTTCCTCGTACCACTGACGAATGGAATGTGCTACCATGCACCGTTGTCAATCAGACCAGTCACAGAATCTATCAGAGTCTTTTGAAACAGCATCTTCAACGTTTATAACTTATTTGTCTTTTCTTGTTCATTATAAACAAAATGTCTTAAAATGTACCATCCCTCTTCGGTGCCATATATGAGTCTGTCATATAAGTTTATATTTCAAATGTAACTTGCTCTTTTTAGTATTTCTTTATTTCTTCACTATTTTCGGTGTTGCATTAGCATAAGCCAGCCTTTCTTTGCAATAACCATGCTTGTAAAAATAAAAATTCAGTTCAGTTCAGTTCAGATCTCGGCCTCACAGCAAACCATTTCAGGATGATGAACCTGTAATTGTGAGCACTGTTAGAAATTTTAAAAGGTTCTCGAAACCTACTTTTCATAGTTACTACTGGTTTCCATTCTTTAACTAGAAGAGTGAGAAATATTTCTTAGAGACATACGCGGAGTCCAAATACTAGGGATTTCTATATAGAAAAAGAATGAAAAGCAAAAACTATTGATACAAATCTTTTGAAAGAAAGTGTTTCTTAAGGCAGTGAAGACACTGATTTCATCATGTTTTATCCGATTTTTCCTTCGGGAACATAATGCAATCAAAGTGAATCATTCACCTCAGACTCTCTGCGAGGTTGAGCTTAAAATAAGTACACAGCAACCTTATTTGTAAACACACTCTCGCTTTCTGTAATTTTTCTTAACTCGTCATAGAAATTATGATAACGGTGTTTTGAACTTCAGAAAAAGTTTGATTGTTAATTCTAAAACAGCTTCAGTCTTAGACTTCTCTAAGTTCTCTCATGCATTTCTCAATTATGATTCGACCTATAACTGGTATTTGATCTCAAAATAAAAGTGAGAGCGGTTTCCGTTTTATAGTTGGCTTGTGAATATTACCGATAAGGTAACGTTTGCCGTATGTGAAGAAAACATTCACGCTTGGACTTTCCGAGAATGTATACTCGAAGATATGGGGTTCCCGAATTTCGCCAATAAGACTTTCGCCAACAGGACATTCGCCAATGGCGAAAGTGCTGCAGTTTATTGGCGAAAGTTCAGTAGACGTTCGCCAATTGGTGAAAGTACAAGAACACTTCGGCGAAAGTCCATTGGACTTTCGCCAATTGACTAAAATCCAGTACTTTATTGGCGATATTCCAGCATACTTTCATTGATTATCAAGAAAGGATGTCGATTTGAGATATGTGGAGACTGACACAGATCAAGCTCTAGTGTCGATGACAATAAAACAATCGTTGAAATTTTTTCATTATAAATTTAAGTTACGCTGTAACTGGCGAAAGTGTGAGAAATGCACTGGCAGAAGTACAGTGGACATTCGACAATTGGCGAAATTCTGTAGGATACATTGGCAAAAGTCATGTGGACTCTCGCCAATAGGCAAAAATCCATAAGGTATGTTGGTGAAAGTACGATGGAATTTCGCCATTGGCGAATGGCCAGTTGGCGAAAGTCTTATTGGCGAAGTTCCGGTAACCCGAAGATATCATCGCTCGGATCAGTTCGTTATTTTTAGAGCCAATCTAATATTCTGTGAATGAGGTGAAATGGCTGAGTCCCAATCCTTTGTGCGTCAAACAGGATCGAACTGATCGGCGCTACATCCTGAGAGTCACTAACAGCAAAGCGATCTTACGGCGAGGATATTCACAATTGTTATAAAAAATTCAACCTTTGTTGCATTTCTCACTTCTGTGTATTTTTGTTTTGAGGTATTTGCACACTAAACATCGATTGAGAGAAAGAACACAGAAAAAGTCCTTAGATACAGTGCATTTTTTGAGAAAGAAGACTATTTTAATCCACATAAAACGCCCGAAGAAACTGTGCAACGGAGATATTTATATTTAGGAAATTATACTTAGGAATTTATATTCTCTCGCTCAGTGGCACTGCTGTGCACTTATTTTGCAAATTAGTTACTTTTGTTCTTTTATTTAATTCTGATCTGAGAAACTTAAAAGAGCAGATTGCGCTAAGTAGAAAAAATAAGTGCCTGATGTAACAGACACTGCTTTTCTTGTCATTTAAAATGAGAAGAAAAGTTTTGTAACATTATCACACACGTGGCTGCCACATAAGCTATGTGTACTATATAAATTCCAAAATGCTTTCCAAAATGCTAGATAAGTTTATATATGCCTTTATATGAAGCACGTTTTTCTTCGTTAGAAATTTACATAAGACAAAATACACGTGGAATACACGCATAAACCAAATTAAAAACGTCGAACGATAAATATCTACTTCTTCTGTTTTCTTTAACTGAGGAGGAAATGTTCTGCTCCTAGGCATCTCTAAAAAACATTTCCTTCTCAGTTAAAGAAAACAGAAGAAGTAGATATTTATCGTTCGACGTTTTTAATTTGGTTTATGCGTGTATTCCACGTGTATTTTGTCTTATGTTCCCTTGACTGTAAAGGAAAGGGTCTTATCGAGTTAAAATGCCTGTATGTATGTTTGTATGTATGTTTGTATGTTTGTATGTTTGTATGTTTGTATGTCCGCAGACTAGATACTAGCGACAGACAAACTAGTACAGCAAAAGTTGATTGGCTGATAATGATATGGAGTAGATAGTTCACTATGGGGAATCAGAAAATGAGTATGAGCGACCTCTACGGTGATTCCTATTGGTCGAAAACATCATTTCCACATTAATGGATGAAAATGATATGGAGTAGGTATTTGACTATCGGGAATCAGAAAA